CCCTTCACCACAGCTGACAAAGTTTTATGATGGGTCAGTACTCCTGCATGCTCAGATCATTCCCTTCCCTTGCTTGAAAAATTGTTCCAAAATGAAAGTTGAACCCACATCTTTTTTATCTGTGAATTCAATGCCGTTTGGCGAGTCTCAAATAAAAATTTGAGCATCTTACTGTAAGAAAAAATACCATTAATGTAAAAAAGAAACTCTAAATAAACTATGTTCACATCCAGAATCAAACCCAGGTCTTCTGCATGAGAGTCAGACACCTTACAAGGTGAGCTAAAGCACCAGTAACATTCAAAGCATCTGTGACTTTTATATCCTTGATAACACCTGAAACAACGTCAAACCAAAGAACAGTTCAGAGCGAAAATGGCTATTTTGTTGCTAATTTGCAGGAAATCTCTAGAAGAAAGTTCTACAGAAAGTAGCTAAGGGTCCTTATAAATGTAGCTAGGTTTGTCACTAGGCGTTAGGAACAGTGGCAACGTGGCACTGCCTCTCTCTCTGCTGCTAAAGCTACTGATAGCAAATGCTACGGGCGATGCCTGAGCGTGAACGCGCATGAAGCAGCCTGCTCAACCCGAGCATCTCTCTTTTTCTGTGATTTTACAGAAAAACAGGCAATCACAGTAAAAATGCCAGGGCTCATTCTACAGGACCAGGGCATTGCTGGAGAATGTATGAAGAAGAAATTTATTATTTCTATAAATGTTTTGGCTGTCAAACTTCCATAATGCCCCTTTAAAGCTTTCATAATAAATAAATAAATATATTAGCTTAAAACAGTTTTTTATGCTTCTCAGCAACGTTCTAACATAGTATAGCTATAAATGTATTGTGGAGCCTAAAAAACAACCATTTTTTTCTTGCATTTGTCTTAAATTGACTTGTTTCCCTCTCGCACTCCCTTTGATGTTCTATTTGTTGTGTGTTGACTTGGAAACAATCTCTGATGACGGCTAGAGATACTAGCTGAAACATGTCAGGTAAAAAACTTTTTTTTTACTTCAACCATGTAAGAAAATAACAAAACATGGATAATGAAGACAAACACAAAATGAACATATAAAAGAGAACATCACTGGTATGAGAGGCCCACTGCTCAGTAATGTCAGAGAAGGAGAAACAGCCGGCTTCTACCACTTGATATTTAGAACAAACGACCTGAGTCTCAAACAGAAAAACACCATTAGAAGTTATGAAAAACAAAACACATTTGCACCTAGAAAACCACATCTGCTGTTCAGCACTTTCTAGTTTACTCTGTCAGTGTGGGTCCCAGGTTCTGGAGGAGGCGTATCCAGTGGAGATACTGGAGGAGAGGGGTGAGTGTTCCGTGACTGTGCAGATTTGCTATAACAGCTTTAAATGAAGAATGTATTTTGTTCTACTAACTTTATTTGTACTACCTTGGGTAAAAGTCAGTTGTTTTGTACATGTCTGCCTGGTTGTTTGGTAAATTGAAAATGATTATCTGGTTAGCTGTTAGAACGATGGAAAGCAATCCTATATATGTGAATATAGTCTGGCCACGACCCATAGACAGAGCTCAGTCGTGGCACGGGGTTTATGGTTGTCTTTGAAACTATTTCCAGATGCTATTGGATGACAGACAACGTGATGTACACTATGGATGTCAGCCAGCGGGGCAGTCCGCCACACACTGTTACAGAAAATGCAAATACTTCCTTTTTCTAAATGAAAGAACTTAAGTACCTCTATCTGCTCCTGACTCAAAGAAATGCCCAAGCCTAAATAGTTCAAAGTTTAAAACAAGCTGCCACCATTTTTGTTGTTTTGCTCCGTAGCAATAACACCCTGCCCACCAAGCCAACAGAGCAGTGTGATTGGCAAGACCCAAGACCCTGATGGAGCGTGGCTAGACCGACCTGCAGAGGAAACCCATTTTGCTTCTGCTACAGTCTGTCTAGATTTCTAGGCTACTGCTACCTGCATGTTTACTCAATCAGGTCATTGCAGATTGAGTTACATTGACAACCACATACCAGAAATGAACATAATAACTATAAATGTGGTATTATTGGTCCCATTTTTCTTTGTGACTGAATTTCAAACTATTTAATTTCTAATCACAATTGTTAACATAATACTTTTTATTACAAAAAAACTTATTTTGTAACATTGGAATGAAAGCTCATCCATTGTGGTGAGTGTGTGTTTCATGATTTTACACAACATATGCATACATTAATATGGGTTTGTCTTGCAAAGATGAAACGCTTATTTATTTCTGTCTACAGCCTGAAATGGCCTTTAGTGCCGGCTCCTCTGCTGGTCTCTCAGACTGCTCAAGTCCCATGTCTCTTGTTTATTACTGACCTCCATCATCCCTGTCATCCTCTGTCCAGTTATCCAACATCTTGTCTCTCTCTTTTCACTCATCGGGTTTCATCTCATTGGTCATACTTTATGATCACTTTAGAAGACCATTCGAGTTTCAGCAGCTGTCCCTGTTTTTGTCTTGGGCTCTGAATAATGAACCAGTATTCAGCACTGCCGTCACTGACGGACCTCATCTCTAAATGAGCTGGTTACATTTAAGAGGCTGTTTAGTTCTGTGTTGACACCCATCAGTCTCTCTTTGGCATCTCCAGACATGTGCACTTCCTCCTTGAATCAAAAATGATGCAAAAGTCAGAAATCAAGCTCATACTGTTACGAGCCCTAAGTTCCCCAGCGCCCGGCTTCTACTCCGCTCCGTTTCAGCACCATGGTCAGCACCCTGGAGAGCGGCCAGCCACACTCACGCAGCTGATTCGCATCAGGAAATCCCCCGGCTGGAGCAGATAAAATCACTGCTGCACTGAATGGAGAGGAGGACTGAAGGAGAGGACTGGAGAGGAGGACTGAAGGAGAGGACTGGAGAGGAGGACAGGAGAGGATTAATGAGAGAGAGACTTGTGTTAGAGAACTTTGGGAATTCATAGTTGCCCTCGGATGGTTTAAGTTTCCACCTGCAAGGGAAAACCTTCAGGTTTTGAGACTTGGTCTTCCCTTGCTCTTGACAGAGCTTTTGGTTGTGTGGGTGAGTTAGTTCACCAGTGGACTTTTGGGTAAGGCCTCTGGGCAAGCTTCTTTCATTCCTGGTGTTCCCATTTTGGAACCAGAGAGTTTTAGTTCTCATTTTAGTGCTCTTTAAGTCACTTAACCCTTTGATGCATAATGGTCACTACAGTGGACAGGTACTCAAAATTGTTATTTATTTGTTTTTGCTAATAAGCACAGCTGTTGAAGACTTTATTGTATTTGAGCCCCTCCGTTTGGACTTCAGTAAGCCAAGCCAACATATTTCATGCTCAGAATGCACACTGCCCACTAAAGTTGACATGTAATAAATTATTTGTACATTATAGAATTTTACAAAAAATATTTGTTGAAATTTGTTTCATCCACACCTAAAGACGAATGAAAAAAAATGTTAAAAAAATCATGGTTGAAGATTTCATAATTCATGCATCAAAGGGTTAAATACTCAGTTTTGTTACCGCAGCATAAATTAAAACTCCCTTTGTTTTATTAACCAGGTTTTCTCCCTTAGGGATGCTTTTTGTTAATAAAACTACTTCTTTGGTTGTGACTTAGTGTCAGAATGTTTAGTATCCATACTCATGTTTCTGTGTTAGGCCTCCCAGGATCCTAGACCAGGTTGAGGTCGTAACACATACGAAGATGAAGATGGAACCCCTCCAGGACTTTCTGAAGCCAGAAGTGTGTGCGTGGGGGGGGGGGGGGGGGGGGTGCGCACACACACACACACGATCAGGAGATCAAGGACAACGTGGGGTTGAGTTTTTTCTTGGAGCAGATTTCACAAAGAAAGATAAAAATGTTGTGTTTTATCAAAAGAATAAAAAACAGAAACAATGTATCTATCAAAGTTCTCATGAAACTTGTTGAATGTTATGATTACATTTTAGTAATATGTCTGAGTGTTTAATTGAATGACAAACATTACAATCAACAACAATAAATCACCTACAGATTTTAGAAAGGTCACATTAAAATGGGGTTTCAGTGAAAACTGTGAGCTCCTGTGTGACTTCCAGTCCAGACTGACGACATTGGGTGTGTTTACTCAGCCTGTGATGCCCGAGAATCACAAGGCTTTGCTCCCTCCTTACTGTAACAGCAGGAAGTCCTGAGGATATGAGACTATTTCAAGAATCTGTTGTCAGCTAAGGTTCACCTTACACACACATGCACAGAGAAAGAGGGAGCAGGGGTCTTCCAGGTATTTATATCCAGAGTATGGTCATCTTTTTTAATTTTTAAAGACAACATTCACACAGAAACCCTTTTTTGTTTTTTTATATATATATGATTGGCCAGTCTGAGTTAAATGTGCAGACTGTTGTGAAAATACTCTTCTACCCCAATCTCCTGCATTAGCTTCTTATAGAAAATAGACGGGGAAACAAACGATGTTAAATGGTAAATTACCTGTATTTGATATAGTGCCTTCTAGAGTCCTGGAACCCCCCCCCCCCCTCCTCCCCCCCCCTCCCCCCCTCCCCCCCCCCCCTCCCCCCCCCCCCCCCCCCCCCCCGGCAGAGCCCCTTCAGGCTTGTGTCATTTGTGGAGATAAAACATCAATGTTGCTGAGCAAATGGAGTCTGTGGTAAAGTCGCGTTGCTGTCATCCAATCAGAGACGAGATGTCCCAATATCAGAATAAAATCACGTTGCTTTCTGCTCACCTCTGCTGTGGCTCACTTCGAGTTCATGAAATAGGAGCAACAGTTGTCACAGAGATCTACTCACAACCACTGCAAATGTGTTGAAAAATGATCTTCAAATACAAAAACCGTAAGTGTCGAGCCAGTCGTCAAATCGTTTCTGTGTTGAATAACCAGTTTCATTTCTATTGTCAATCATTTTGTGCCAAACACCAGGTTTATTATTATTGTTATAAAAACTGTATCAAAGCTGGCAAGTGAAAGAGAAAAAAAGCACACTGCCTTTATCTTTTACTGAGAAAACAAACTTTAATTTTATTAACACAGTTTCAGGAGTACAGAACCTTTGTGTTCCTTGACAGCTGAGGGCATTATGACAGTTAATCTCAAAATGAGTACTGGATGCCCAACCAAGCAATGTCTTTTAGAAAAAATTGTAATGAAAAACAATGGCAGACGAACAATAGGTGAAGCGATGTTTAGTTACAGGACACTGTGCATCAAATTTAACACAATATTATTGCTGCTGGTTTCCATGGTGATGGAGACAAGCTAAATGGATGCTTCTGGTCAAAAAGCTGCAAGATGAACATTCAAAGGAAGCACGATGATCAGGAGTAGTCTTCTAAAATGTTTGTTTTTTCCTGATTTTTTTTTTCAGATTTAAACACATAGCTGCTTTTGAGTTCACGTTTATTTATTTGGCAGATGCATTCACCCAAAGCGACATACAATTTATAACCTATAGGGCACGTTGTGATGTGTGGGGGAAACTGGAGTACCCGCAGGAAACCCACGCATGCAGGGGGAGAACACGCAACTCCACACAGAAAGGCTGCAGCCGGGTTTCGAGCTGCAAACCTTCTTGCTGCGAGGCAACAATGCTAACAACTGTGCTACCATGCAGCCCATGCTTTACATGTCCCAAATGATGTTCTCCATGTATATTTCAGGTTAAGTCCATTCTGTTTCATCTAAAGACAACTATTATCAATAAATATGTTGCTGAATGAAGTTCAAGAAACTGACATTTTTTTTCCCAACACATCATTTTAATTTTTTAGGGACTTGCTAAGTGTGACGCTCTAGTTGTTGTGAGTAAATTACTTGTATTTTTTTCTCTGTTTGGGTTTTGTTAATCAATTTCTGGTCCCAAATAAGTTCAGTTATGTTCCACCCCCTCTGACTCTTGGTCTCATTCACACCTGATTCATTGGACTCACCAGCCCCTCGTTAACCTACCCGTGTGTTCCTGATTATCCTTGGGTATTTATACCCCGTTTTGCACGTGTCCTTTGTCAGATCATTGTAGCATCTTCTGTTATGCTGCTCCTGTTGGTGTCATCTGCTGCCATTCATTAAGCTGTTTTTTTAACCTCATCTGCCATTTCTTCCTCCTGGTCCAGCTCTACCACATCATGACAAGTTATTGGTATTACATCTAGATACAGAAGCAAAACCACTTTATGTTTCAGAATGTAAAATAATCTAGTTCTCTTTAAACAACGAGGGTGAAAATACATACATGTGAAAGAAAAAAAACATGTTTTGATAATACACTTGTCTTACATTCAAAAGGAACAAATAGTTTTTACTTGTGGTAAAAGTCATAAATACAAATTGACTTCTGTCAACAAAGCAGTTAAGGGGTTATTGTTGCATCACCTCAACAGTAGTGTCTTAGGGTCAGACGGATACTCGTTTCATTTAAAGGTGTGACACACTCAAACCATTTTTGTTCTAATATGTCTGATTATAATCTGTCACTCTGGATTCGTCATACAGGCTGAACATGAAAATAGTCTCCTACACCTATCTCCTGCATTAGCTTCTGATAAACATAGACAGTGAAACTCTAGGACTAGAAAAGCCTGACAGATCTATGTCACACTGTCGCTCAGCATTCATGGACTCACCCATCTTGACTCACAGCGGGGAAGGCTGTTGGTTTAGCATCCAGGAAACAGCAGAGAACGTCTCGACGAGTAGAAGCTAACAGTTAGCATTAGCAACTCCACTACATAGTACAACAGGCTTGTGTTATTTGTGGAGATAAAACATCATCAGTGCAGAGCAAACAGTCTGCATAGTCATGTTGCTGTTAGCCAATCAGAGGTGAAATGTTCAAATATCAGAAAATAAGAAACCAAAACCTGAAAGCTACTTTCTTCTCCAGCTGACTTGTACTTCCTGATTCAGGCGCATTCAAGGCATTCCTTCATTTATTCCTACAAGAAACCACTGCAAATGTATTGATTTAATGAGTGTGCAACACCTTTCAGTTTTATTTGTTTAATAATCAACAGAAATGAGCCCCTTCCCGCAATGGTGAAGAAGTGACAATGAGAGGAAATCAAAGCACAACAGACGAGACAACAGGGCTGACGGTTGGAGAGTGTTGGATGTAAAAGTTTATATTGAAAAGTCATCAAAGTTTGTTTTGAGAAAAAAATGTACAAAATTTCAGGAGCCTTGATGAAACCAACGTCCAAGACTTCATTTATGCTCCATGTCGTCAACAATCGGAGTGTTGTAACTCTCAAACAGAGGCTGCATGAAAAGGCCAGCAGTGCCAATTACACACACACAAACAAAAATCCATAGGAAGAGACGGTCAATCACCATGGCAACATACTTCCAGTCCTCAATGATCTGCAGAGAGAAACAGACGTTTGTAAATGATGCCTGTGTGTCACTAACCCTAACCAAAATTTGACCAGAGATTAGGACACCTGTCAGTTTTGGTGTTCCTGTTTCCACCAAATCAAATGCACAAAAAAATTAAACCCAATCACAATACAGGATGAAAAGGTAAAAGTTTGTCATAAACATTAAATAATCTGTACTTCGAATAAGGGACTTCATGTCCTTGGATTTCTAAAACATTCAGCTGAACAACTGTGAAATTAGCCCCAAAAAGTCAGAAACACTGAGTTCAGCAAATGTCTGATGTGTAGAACATGACTGAGTGTTGTTACAATCCAGGGTGGAGTTTAAGGAAAAGTGTTGTGGGACACCACTGGTCTGTAAATAATGTTATATTTCTTCCAAACTGTGTTCAGACCTTTGAGTCAACCCAATGGAGAATTATTTTGACCAAAATGTAAAAGTAAAGAAGAAATAAAAGAGTGTGACTGTTCCCAGTGAGAGTTTTAAGTCCCGTCCCCTTTATGTAAACTATTGGAACATTGTTCTGATTTAAAATAATTTAATACAATTAATTAATCAGTTTTTCATCCTTTGCTGCTGTATGATCAAAGTACAAATGCTTTTTGTGTAGCTGGTTATTTTAGGCTTAAACGTGTGTGTGCGTGTGTGTGTGTGTGTGTGTGTGTGTGTGTGTGTGTGTGTGTGTGTGTGTGTGTGTGTGTGTGTGTGTGTTTGCATGGACTCTAAACTAGATCAACAAGAAATACATTAACAGGTGCAGTGTGTGTGTATAAGTGCATAATGAATGCGTCAAACACCTACCCCCTCATCATCATCTTCACTCTTCATTTTCTCAGCAATGTAGCGAACTCCATCTACAGCATCCTCCACATCAATGTTTCTCTTGAGCGTCATCCTCCTCCTGAAGTCTGTGCCGTCTGATAAATCCCTGATTCTCCAGCCGTAGCGTTTGGCTGATTCCTCGTTGATGAAGAAGGATGAGGAGGAATCTGCCACTCCAGCAGAACCTCCCGTCCCACCCTCCGCACCACACAACCTCTGGTCTGAATACATCTGCTTTTGGTATTTTTTCCTGAACTTCTCACGAATGTTGGAGCTACCGGGTCTCCGCATGAAGAGGAATGAGGGAAGCCGGTACAGGAAGATGCGTTTGACCCACGGTGGCATGGTGTGAGTACTGGGAGACCGATGGTGAATGTTGAGCACACAAACGCTAGTGACGATAGAGAAAGTGACCAGCACCATGGTGAACATTAGGTACTTGCCAATAAGAGGCACTGCTAAAGACGTCGGTGGCACTATCTTTGAGATAAGGAGTAAAAACACAGTCAGGGCCAGGAGGACGGAGATGCACAGAGTCATCTTCTCACCGCAGTCTGACGGAAGGTAGAATACCAGGATGGCTAGAGATGTGATGAGGATGCAGGGGATGATCAGGTTGATGGTGTAGAACAAAGGCTTCCTCTTGATGATGAAGTCATAGGTGATATCCAGGTATCTGATGTCATTAGGGTCCTCATTCTTCCGTCCAGGCAGTGAAACAATATCCCACTCCCCACTGGGTTTGAAGTCATCACGAGAGGCATAATCACTGAGGAGGATGAGATCAATCTCTGTGTGGTCGTAAGTCCAAGATCGAAATTTCAGAGTGCAGTTCTGCTGGTCGAAGGGGAAATCCCGGACTTCAATTTTACAGGCCGACTTGTAGATAGCCGGTGGGAGCCAAGCTACCTCTCCGTTGTTTGATACCACAGCGTTGGAGTAGAAGGAGACTTCATAGGTCCCGTCAGCACTAAAAAGAAAGAAAAACACAAAGATCAAAAGACAGGAAAAAGGAAAAATCTTCTCATTTTACAAGAAAATTCCCTCCATCTAAAAAATAAAAAAGGATTTTCAAGGACCAGCTATTTTCAGTAATGTTCCACTTGTAACTTTGGTTTGTGCCACATCTAATTAAAGTGTATAAATATACAAAATCAGATAATTAAATTATCTAATTACAGTGTATAAATATACAACTTCAAATCACTACAGTTGCTTTTGGTTCCACCTAACATTCTTGTTGCTATGCAGGTTTAAAGGTGGCTGCTAAAAAAGTCCCACCACTGATTCACTTCACCATGTTTGCTCCATGTCTCTAATCAACTTTTTCATTTGTACGGGAAATTCTTGTCACAGCAGACATTTAGACTTGTATTTAACATGGTAGCATTTCATTTAGAAGAATTTCTGTTTCTCTACAAAAATAACCAATATTTATAGCTGCAAAAGTGGAGTGCAGCCCACTTTGGACTCCTGTGCCATCTCTTTAGGCCTTCTGCAACTAAAAACAAAACTAATGAGGTGTAAATCTACATAATTTATCATCTGGTGAAATATCTTTTAATGTGTTTTATTAAGTTGTTTCAGTTGATTGAATTTCCCTCTTGAATTGGTTCTGTTCTATATTTATCTCCCACTGCTAGGAGTTTGTCTCCCTGATTCTTCAAATCAAAGTTGCACTGACTGCTGCTGCAGGTAAGACACTGACTGCTCATAAACCTTCTTTTCAAGGGATCTGGATGACTTATGATATGTTTTCTTCTCATTAAAAGCATCAAAACCTCTATCAGGATCAAGTCAAAGAAACCGTTAAAGCTGCTATAGCGAATTTGCCGAACAAGCCAGGTTATAAACTGTATCGGTCACATTTTATAGCGTGACAACCGCAAATGAATTATGACCAGTAATAATCATATAAATATGAAATATCAATCTGATTCACCTTTGAATGTTTAATCAGAAGATTATAGTTACTTTTACTTGCTCAGGGACCATAAACACACTTCGTATTAATTCAGACAGAGTCAAGTATATAGTTAAAAAGGAATTTTATTCTTTCTCAACTAATGATTATACATGACAAGATATGAATAATGAGATGTGATGGAGTGGATATGCGGTGATGGAATGCGATGTGTAGGTGGTGTAATGTAAGTTAGATGTTTATTAGAATCTTTGTATCTGAAAGAAATTGTGAAATCTTGGTGTAAAATAATTTGTTGTGTGCTCTAAATTAGAGAGTTGATTATTAATAAAACAGCATCAGACGCAATCTGTTGTGTGTACAAACCCTGGCAGAGATCCCCAGCAGATCCAGACTATCAGAAGTTGGGTGGACCTCACGGCATCGGGATTTCGTAGATTAAACTCCCATATGACCCGTCCAGTCTTGAGATGTCTCCAGGTCACAACAGTAGCTGGAATTCTTGTTTGCGTTCAAATTGGATGAGGCAGGGAGCCGTCTGGCTGTATGCAAATAGGTTTTGACTACATGTCAAAAGAGATGGCTCAAGGGGGCTTGCTCCAAATTGGCCGGTTGGGAAACTGAATTAGTCGGGAAGTAATTGTTGTTTTACCAAACTACTTTGTTATGATTTCTGGCCAAGTTTGACCAATCAGAATTTGACTCATTTCTGGGTATTTACCAACATCCCTCAGAAAGCCACGTCCTCCTCAGATACAAAAATGTTTTTATCACTGTGAATGAGAATGGTTTAAAACCCTTATGTGAGGTGAACCTTAACCTTAATTTGTATCTTATGAAGATGTGTATGAGTGTAAACAATGATTACCTTAATAAATCAAACACGTACTGATCATAAGATCTGCAGTGGATCATTGTAAGAACAATATTCATTTCAAATTCATTATTTAAGCGCATATTATTCAAACATTTCATTTAAACATCTTGTTCATTCAACCATATGATTAATTAACTTATAAGTTGTAAAGCCTTGTAGGATTCGTGTAGGTTCACTTTTATTCAGAGTGAGGAATCCAGCAGTCTGGGGCAGAGAGAAGGGCTTTTGCAGGAGACCATGGCAGTTTATTTATGTGAGCATTGAAGAACGATAAGTGAGCAAAAGGTTGGTGTGTGTCTGGATCCTCCAGATGGTGCAACCATGACTTTGCAGCTCTGGCGTGTATGAAAGGTTATGCTGTGTCAATTGGATGGTGAAAATTGACCCTTTTGATTCATAACAAAACACTCAGGTATCTTCCCTGAGACGATTCTGCTGGAACCAGAAATTTGCATTGCTGAAGGCAAGAGAGCACCAGTTGCCATTTTTCTAGGTCCAAACGTCTTTTGTTTTCCATGTCTTCCAATTTAGGACTCTGGTAGCTTGTCCTAAAGTTGAAGTGGTAGCAGCCAGCTGTTTCTCCTTCTCTGATATTATTGAGCAGAGAACCTCACACACCAGTGATGTTTTGTTGCTAAATATGCGAGTGTGTGATGAGTGGAGGACCCAGGGAAGTGTGGAAGTTCAGTGAGATCAGCAACCCGATGGTCCAATAGTTGTTTTCTGTTGGAATTGTGTTACAGTGAGGTTTTTAGACAAGTGGGAGAGAACCGCAAGAGAGCTTTATTAAGAGGCATAATAAAAATGTTTTAAGTCAACGTGTTTTACAAATTTGCCATTGCAGCTTTAATCAGATCACTTTGAATATATAGAGTTTGCATATATTTTATTATCGTCCTTCAGGTGTCCATACACATAAAAATGTACTCTTGCCATAATGTATACCACGTACATTTCCCTTTACATTTAGGCGACTAGGTTTGGAGGAACCAGTTGACATAAGTTGGTTAATTAAATTCAATGTTTCATTTTAAAGCGTACAGGTGATGGGTTCATATCAGGGAAAAGGCTTAACCTGGAACATCCAACTGCATAAAGCTCAAACCTCCCCAGGAAGACTTCACCTGTTAAAGGTAAAGGTGATGAATTATGAATTAAAGTCCACTTATAAAGTAGGTCAGGAATCACACTCAGTCTCTAAAGCTTGGGGCCTGCAGATGAATAAAAAATGCACAGCTCCATCAGCTCACTGTGAATTCTGGTCTGCATTATGTGTTTTATTCTGCTGTTGAAATCTCATGAAATTATCTGTAAATGAAATATGTTAAAACTATTTTAAAATCCAATGTATCTTAGATTCATATCATTGTTGGTTAAAATGAAAATGAGCCACTACAAGAACTTGGAATGTACCAAAGTATTTGGTACTTTTACTTAAGTAGAACCTTTTCGTACTCCTTCCTTCCTTCCAACAGGGGACACGCCTGGCACTGAACTGTCTGCAGGTCATTCACTAGGTCCCCCGGTGTAGTTCTGGGATTTTTCCTCACAGTTCTTGTGATCATTTTGACCCCACAGGGTGAGGTCTTGTGGCGTGGAGCCCCTGATCGAGGGAGATTATCAGTAGTCTTGTTAAGTCTTCAAATGTGATGTTCTGGATTTATTTTCTCATTTTGTCTCTCATAGTTTAAGTATGCAAATTACAGGACTCTTTCATCTTTTTAAGTGGGAGAATGTACCCAATTGGAGGCTGACTAAATACTTATTGTCCCACTGTATTTTAGTAACTCGTGAGCAAAAATCCCAAAGCTTGGCATACACCCTTGTAAACAGAGGCAGCAGAAATAGTTTTTATGCTTATTTTCCCCTTTAGCTATATTTTCAAGCCATAAAATTACTTTAAGATGCAGGTTTTACAGAAAGGCTTTGTCCTACTTGTTATAGAGAACGATGTCTGGCAGCCAGATGTGTTGAGATGGGAGTCGAATTTTCTTGATGCCCTCATATTCATCAGGATCCCACATTAACCTGTAGTCATTCCACCCCTGATGAAAAATGACACTGAAAGTTGAACTCAATATCATTAGTAAACACAAACACACGATAAAGACAACCTCCATGAGACTAGCATGCCAGAACAAGAAGAAATATGAAAAAGCACAAGAATCCCAGTAACGTTTCAACATAGGTAAATGCTAAAGTCACATGTAAACATGTTGGTTCCTTCATACAAATATTGGTTGAGTCACCTGTCGTGATGCATTTGAAAACTCAGAGTACATGGGCATACCGTGCCCAACACGCCGTGAGCTGACCTCACCAGTGAACTGGCTTTATGTCTTTGCGCATTTCTCCACAAACGGCTGCACTGCCACAAATCTAAATACATGCCAGTATGTGTCTGTGTGTGTGCATGACTCAGACACTTGCTCCGTCCCTTGGAATAACCAAAGCAGCGTGCAAACACACACACACACACTCACACACACACACACACACACACACTCACACACACACACACACACACACACACAGAGTAAGATCAGGTGAGAACACAAACCTGAGTGAGCCAACAGTTGGTGGTCATGATCTGCTCTCTTTCGTTCTGAAACACAGGTAAACATGCAGCCTAAAACCACCATCCCAGGCGGGGCAACAGTGTAGTTGTGTGCTTCTGAATGTCCGTTGTGACATGTTTTCTTACCACGTTGATGAGCTGGGCCAAAGACACCTGGATGTAAATGGTGACCTGCTGGCTGTTGTTGACAGCTGGTCTGATCAGTTTGTTGTATCGCTCCGGCGACAGCAGGTGACTCACCAGCCTCTCCTCCACATCTGCACACAGGGCGCCTGCATTCAGACAAAAACGTAGGAAGCTGTGTAAAAGAGATGCATAATACACTCAGGACTTTTAATCTGAAATGGTCTAATTGTGAGAAATAGCTGAGTCATAGCAGTTTTGATCTAATGTTGGAAAGGAAAGTATGAATGATCTGGAGTAATGCTGCTGGATCTTGTGTTCTTGTGTTGTTGTGAAGGACTCTCTTCTACAACCATATCGGATTGTAACTCCGCATCAGCAGTCTATGGACAAACAGGCGGGGTACACCCTAGATGGCTGCTAGTCCATCACAGGTCAACACAGACACACGCAAGACAAACAACCATGAATGCACACATTCACACCTGGACAATTTAAAAAAGACCGACTAACCTAACAGTTATATCTTGGACTGTGGGAGGATACTAGAGTAGTCAGAGAGAACCTGTGCATGCAATGGCAGAGCATGCAAAGTCCATGCAGGAAGACCCAAAGTAGGGATTTGAACCCATGACCTTCTCTCTACAAAGCACCACTGCTGCACCACCATGCAGCCCAGACTATTAAATGTGATAATTTGCTCAAATAATTTGTTCTGTAGTTTAATCAAGTATGTATTATGTGATGCTCTGACGCTTGAACAAAGCATCACACTGTTTTCAGCAGAAGTTACTCATGTAGTCAATGACTTCTACACAAATAGCTGTGCAAGCACTTTCAGTTTGTATCTAAACATCTCAACACTGCTCCATCTGCAGCTACAACAGCTTTGTTCTGACTCGGTGGGTTGTCTAGTGCTCACGGTAGCTCTGGGGGACATGAGGAACAAACTGAAACTGAACAACACTAAGCTCTAAACAGGCAGGTTTAGGAAGGAGAGGTGTGACTCTAACATGGTTAGTCTCAACTGACCTCCAACAAGCTTCTCTCAAATAAGGAGGACCACTAAGTGTTGAGTGTGCAAGTAGCTAGGACGTGACTCTAAACTCTGAGGGATAAACTGACTCAGACACAGAAATCTCCATCTCTCAGAAGGAAATGAAGACATGAACAGGAAGACGCAGCTAAAAAAAAAAAACAACGGTGAAAGAAGAGTTTGGGGCAAAACAATCCCCAGATTAGAACAATCCATTAAAAGTGAAGCATTTGGGAGACAAATAAACAACAGTGATTAACTTAATAGGATTACATCCTTTTGCTCAAGAGCCCAAACTGAGTCTGATGCTTTCTAGTTCGGATTAAAAGAGAGTGGTTCAATGGTTTCTCCAGCCTTGGAAATGAAACCACATAATAGAATAGAATAGAATAGAATAGAATAGAATAGAATAGAATAGAATAGAATAGAATAGAATAGAATAGCTTCATTGCCTTTGCAACCAGTCCAGCCAAATTATGCACCCCTCTGGTGTATAAGCATAAAACAACATAAAATCCTAGGTATAAATAAATAAAACCCAGATGTTGGACCTTTAAATGCATAAGACAGTAAAACCAATGAAACCAGGGCAATAAAATCCACAATCAGGGTAGGCCTGCTAAAGGCAGTTCTATGACCATTCAGTACTCCCACAGCTGAGGGAAAGAAACTGTTTTTCAGCCTGTTGGTTCTGGCCTTGATGCTCCAGTATCTTTTTTCCAGAAAGCAGCAATTGGAAAAGATTTGGAGCAGGGCGGTAGGTGTCCAACAAGATTTTCTCTGCTTTACTGCGGTAATGAATTGTTTGAGGAGGGCAAGGGACAGCCAATTATCTTTGTGCAGTGTTGATGATCTGTTGTAGCCTCTTCCTATGGGCTATAGTACAGCTGCAAAAATTGCAGTTCCACCCTCATCCGCTGGGGGTTGGTGTCAGAAGCGAGCAAATCCTCATTGACTCCCACGTTAAAAATACCAATTTCACAGCAGAAATAAACATGTTTACAGCCTGGTACCAAAACATGTTTTTTGTTTAATAGATCTAGTTTACACTCAGGACAACTCTGAGGGGGGTGAATTTTTTTGTCACTCTTCTGTTTAAGTGTATTTGTGACAGTTACCAGCCTGGCCATTGGGATGCAGGACTGGTAACTGCTCTTTTAATGTTAACCTTTTTGAGTTTTTTTTTTTTTTTTTTTTTGCGTTATCTTAATAATGCTCGCCATCTGTTTGCACTTGTTATTAGAACCTTTTATAACAATTAAAACCATTTTAACTCCACTGTCGCATTTCTTATGTTACCCCCTCCTTCACATTTTAACATCTCCTGTCGGGGACGTAACAGTATTAAATGCCTAAAATTCTGAATAATTAATGAGCATCAGACCCACGTGAGCACAGAGCTAACTCCGGCGAAAGGCCTCAGCCTCGGCCTCGCCTGAAAACTGTCTCTCAACTTAGACCATTAGTTGTAGCGTTTGTGCGTTCTTTTTGGATATTATTTGTGCAATTTGTAGCATCATGAATGGCCTCATATTTGTGACCCAAAGGTCACACTTTCCCAGCTGGGTCAAGCTGGGTCGAGCTGTAACTTTGTCCCACAGATTACCCGTCAGGAGCCGTGATGTCTGCTGAACACCATCTTTATCTGGCTGCTGTTCCGTCCCAAGATGGACACTTCAAGATTTTAAAATAATAATTTTAAAATAATAATTTAATAAACTGTTTTACTGTTTATTACAATCATCATAAATAATAATCTTAGTTCAGTATAAATGTATTTAATTACTGAAATGACTTATTATGCTTTGGGTAATAATAATTATTATTATTTATGATAATCAGTAATGTGTGTTCAGTAAACCAGAAGGTCATTTGCACGTTAACCACCTCATGCAGAGGGTGTATCCAGGGTAAAGGTAAACCACCTCACATGTCTTTACTCCATAACAACAAGCTTTCTGACGCTGAGAGGGAATGTTCTGAGGTTTTGTTAAAACCAAATCTCTGCAGCTGTAGTTCAGTTCTTGAACCCACCAGAGGATGAGGGACAGTCGCCCAAGCCTCTCCTAAGCTGTGCTGTCACGCCGATAGAATTGCTCCGAAAAGATGCACCTGTAACCAGCTGACACAAAACTCCTTCAGAGTTATTAATTTTGAGACGTGAATAGTTTCATCAGTGGTGTGACCCACGGAGACATCTCAGGACCGATTTGAGACGCACCGAGGTCTCTCTACCAACCTCGTGCCCGGAGGAAGAAATTCTCCACCTGACATCTCGGATCCACGGAAGGTCTCCTGAACTGGGTGAGCTAGACATTGTCCGACAGATGACGTTCGATGCTGTTCTCTCTAAGAACATCAGTTAGCTGCAAAACAACATTTTCACCCAGAATGCGCTTCTCTCTCTGAAATAAATCTTCTGAGATTCATTCACGCATCCAAACCTCGCATGTCACTTTAGCTTTTCATTCAGACACAGGTAAAGCTTTTAATAACAAGTTTTAATATCAAGCTGTTTCAAATTGTCATTTTTAAAAGTGTTAGTAATAAATTCTTAACTTTTTAAAACCTGACTCCTCTTTGAAATGAAACACAGAATGGTGTATATTTGGTTATTGAATAAGCAAAGATTCCTTTAAGCTTCTGATTCAATAAATAAACTTTTGCTATTAAATTTAATCATCTTAAATTAAAGATTAATCTTTGGATTAAAATATGGACCAAGACAGTTAGTGTATGAACTTCTATTGATTGCATTAATATCCTAGATAGTTGTGCATAATATAAGTTCATATACTAATGTCCGATCTTTTCTAAGGATCTAACCAAACTGAAGCAAACAGTGTTAAACCCTAGTATGTAGATGTGCCCACGCTACAAATTGTTGGACAAAATGACTTGCTGTGGTATTAATTGCACTAATAGAGCATCCAAGGAGGCTCCACTTCATTTTTTCGGTAAGTAAAATTATATTTATGTATTTTAGGTCACTGTCGCTCTTGCACTAGCTGAGCTTGGATTTTAACATGCACTGTTTAACCATGAAATTTAAATGTAATAGGGTAAAACCCAGTGCATTTAACATAAAGCTGCATTTTAGAAAAGGGGTTGAAGTATAACAAGATGGTGGAGGTGGGTTCCGACTATTGGCATGGACTCCCTCCTCTAAGCGGCAGCTTGGCGCTTCTCTGATCGCCACTGCGCCTGTCTGCTGCGCGGCTGCTGGCTTGTGGAGCTCTCGGACGGAAACCGATGTTTTTCTCCCAGTTCTCCCCAGCGGCAGCTCTGCGCATCTCTGATCGCAGCAGAGCCTGTCTGCTGTGCGGCTGCCGGCTTGTGGAGGTCTCGGAGACCTCTGTGTTCCACCCGGTTTTATCCAGCGGTCAGCCCGGCGTATCTCTGACTCAGAACCTCCGGTGTTGTGCACAGTTAACTCCGGTTGTAGCTAGGTTGCTACCTCCATTAGCTTAGCTCCCACCTCCACGTTAGCTTTGGGTTAGCTTGTAGCTACATTGCTTCAGTTCGACGGGTGTCATCATTTGATCCCAGTCTTACAGCCCCACCCTAAGCTCCATCTCTTTTCCCTTTTATGGAATTGTCTGGGCTTGACGGAACCTGTGACACAGTCAAAATGGCGGTGGTGGCCACCTCCCATTTTAGCTCAAAAACTTGTTATTGGAGTCTATGGAAACGAACTGTCCAGTATATATGTTGATGGTTCAACCACATTCCAAATGTTCTGGACCTGACCAAAATCTGGTGACTCTGGAGGCCGTTGGAGTCAGTGAACACATGGTCATGTGCTGGAAACCAGTTAGCGATATTCTGAGCTTTGTGACATAGTGCATTATCCTGCTGGAAGTACCCACCAGAAGATGAGTCCACTGTGGTGATGAAGGGAAGGACATGACCAGCAACAATACTCAGTGAGGCTGTGGTGTTTAAACCTGGCCCAGGTGGTACTGAGGGGTCAAAGTTGTGCTTGAAGATCAGTAGATCAAAAGAATCAAAAGAGAAGAAGTTTCTAAAATACTCGCATGGGACCATCCGTCACCAAAGTTCATTACCAGTCCTTTTTTCCTTATGAAACTCGCAGCCTTTCACCATACCTGGGTGTTCTACAGATCAATGTATCAATGTAGATTAGAGCCTTAAAAGAACTTGGGTTACACTTCTTTTCCTTAGTTTGTTGTTGGATTTGAACTTTAGCAAATCATCTTTACCACATTTACTTTTCTATATGAATCCAACACAGGCACTATCAGTCCCTCCGACCACCACCAGCAAGCAAGGTGGGTTAAGTGTCTTGCCCAAGGACACAACAGCAGCATTCCCTGGTTGGAGCCAGAATCGAACATGCAACTTTCCGATTACTGGACAACCCGCTCTGCCTCCTGAGCTACTGCTGCCCTGTCAGACGACTGTCTTCAACTGACGTCTAAAAATGACTGGAGGGTTGTGACGTTGATCATTTTGAAATAAGCTAAATTTGAGTGTAAAATGTTCAAACTGAGAATGCGGTTATAACAAAAGGAGTGAGAGAGGCAGAAGTTAATGCAGAATGAGATCTGAGCTTTGAGTCTACCAGTAGATTTCGTAAAACACAGACACACACACACACACAGTGAAACTCCTGTCCACATCACTGCACTCTCCACACCTCAATAATTCATATCTACTAAGATAAAAATACCATCATCTCTGATGCTTAGTTTCAAACACGATCACAGATTATTTCGCACCCACATTAAACTGTCCTAGGGCGCGAGCACACAGACATCATAAAACAAACAAAAAAGCCATTCAGACATGCTGTCATGTTTGAACGAGGCAGATGGACGGATGTCCTCAGACAATACAAAAAAAATCTGCATCCTGTAGCTTTTTCTTTTTGGGATGGTGAATAATTCAGTGCATTACCATCTGTGGAGGAGGAAAGTATTCAGGCTTCAGTTGTCTTTGGCTTCACTCAGTACACTGCTCTAATCGGTCATCCCGTCAAAGACACCCATGTCTCATTTATGTTTGTCCACACTCCAGTGAGATGTTTACCATATCACGGAGTGTAACTACAGCCTGACAGGTTTACGTTATGTCCCTGTCTTCTTCCCTAGTTTTTCTGCTCGCTCACGACAGTTTCTGTCCTGTTTTGTTCTTTTCATGTGAGAAGTGACTGGAAAATTAGCATTTTTCTGTTCTTTACACGGAATTGCTCTTTAAGGTTTTCACTACCTGGTGTCACCTCTGTGCTTGAAAAGGAAGCCCATGTCTCACTTCACCTGCCTCCCTCTGAGAGCTGCATTCAAACAAGATTTCTAAAACAACTTGAGGCGTTGACTCATCTGCTTCTGAGATTCATGACAACCTGAAACTTTACTGCAACTTTGGTAGAAATTTCTTCCTATTCTGTCCTGTTTATGAATTCAATTTCAACACAAAATTATCAAAGGTGTTTCAAAGCTTTGTTAAATAAATGCTGATTTAAGAAGTTATTGCTAATATTTAAGAAGGGTAGAAATTACATCATAAATGTGTAGCTTGGTGAGAAAAAGGGAGAGAACAAGGAACAGAAACAATGCCTACACATTTACAAAAGGGGAAAATATGTAAAAAAATAATAGTAATAAAAGTTACATAAAAGGGAAAACAGAGTTAGCAGAAAACAATAGCCACGGTCATGAAGAGTGCACATGAAAGGATAATTGACCATAAAG